CATTAAAAAAATCATCCTGAGATTAAATATAGAAGTGTCAGTTCTCCAGTTTTTATATGAAAATGATAAAAAGAACCTTGAAAAATTATTTACCAATAATTTGTATCCTTTTCTTGGTACGATAAAACAATTTTTTTAAAACTCTTTACGCCCTGTGAACACTAAAAGGGCCTCTTTTTTGCATAACCATTATGGGTTCGGCCAGGCCCACAATGGGGCGATCGGATGCTAAGAAACTGGATTCAAAATTATCCGGACGTCGGGCCTCCCAGAGTCACCTGCTCGGCCACCCGGTCGTCAAATTTAAACTTGGCTATACATAGATTATTAAAAAAAAAACAAGTTTCTTTTTCTGATGGATTATATTTTATGATTGCAATAAATATTTGTGACCTTAATTTTGTTCTGATTTCTTTTTAAAATTTAACACATTATATACTGTATTTTGATATTGAGGGTATACAAGATATGGCAGAAAAGTAATGAGACTAATTTTTTTTTGTAACAATTTTATTTTATTTTTATACATTAATGTTATCCCCTTTAAAATAATACCCTTGGGCAGCTGTACATCGGCAGAGGCATTATTGTCAGTTTTCGTAGCAGTGCTGGAAGGCTTCAACTGGAATAACCTGCATCAGTGCAGTTATGCTCCTTTGGATGGTATCGGCAGTACCAAGATGATGTCCTTTTAAATGGGTTTTGATCTTGGGGAACAAAAACAAGTCACATGGACTGAGATCAGGCAAATAGGAGACCTGGGAAACCACAGAAATGTTTTTTTTTCTGTCAAAAATTGGTTGATGGAGATGGCTGCGTGACAGGAGGAGTTGTCATGGTGGTGCATCCAGGTGTCTGCTATGTCCTGTCTGACTCAAAGCATGCTTTTTCAGAGCCTTTCAAGGAATCTTCACTCATTCCACGCTTTCCACAGTTCTCGATGTTGAATATCTTCCTGAATGAGGTTCGTCTTTTACTGCTTCTAGGCCCTCCAAAAAATGCTTTGTGCTATTGAAAAACTTGTGCTCATGATAAGAAATGTTCTCCATAGACTCTTTTCAACTTTTCATGGGTCAAACTTGCAGGTTCAACATTAACACAAAATTTGATGCCACACAGTTGCTCCAAATTACACTATTTCATTTTCCGTGACTCAATTCAAAAACAATACTTATCACACTCTCTAGGATCATGTAGTTACTGCACGAGGTTGAAACTGTTACTGAGTGTCTAGGAGAGACAGACGTACAAGTTACATGAAAGGGGAGTCCACAGTGTTGCCAGATTGCACTTGGTGATACCAATCTCATTACTTTTTTGCCACACCTTGTATTTTAAACCATATAACTCATTCTTCTTGATTTGTTGTTCATTCTTTTAATACTGTGATTACAGTATTAAATGAAACAAACATTGTACTGTATTTCAAATAATGATATAATCATATTTTATGACATCATCATTTGAAATACAATGCAATGCTAGAAATCTTCTGACAGATGTTTTAGATTTGATTTTTTAAAAATTCCTAATTTTTTTTATCATCACACAGGATAAATAAAGCTGCTGACACCTTAATCACCTCATCCATCCAGCTGTCAAGTGTCAGTATACAATGAATTTCTTGCTTTTACCACGTAACTATTGTACACTTTGTTGAATCTTGGAAAACCACTAATCTACTTGGATCCTATTTCCCATAAGCTCAGTATCACATTTTTGAAAATAGTAATTATGTAACTGATAAGTTACATAATTACTATTTTCTGTTTTAAAAGAAATAATGTGCCAGAAATAATATACCTAGCCAGAATAATATGCCTGGTCATTTCTATTACAGAATTCTACTGTAATAGAAATGACCAGGCCAGTGACATAACTATGATTTTGAAATACCCCTGCAAACATTAAATGGCTAATCAGATAAGGTTTCAGTTTATCATTGAACAGAAACGTACTCAGCAAATTAATAAATCAAATAACCAACACCTTATTTGTTGCCGAGGGAGTTTATTAAAAAGAATGTTTTCCATCTACTCTATAGATCATCTTCAGGTTGAAACCGCTGCATATGGAATAACTATCATAGAATAGGACACCAAATTCAAATTCAAATTTAAAAAAAGTTGATTTTCATGCGTATCCTGCCAAGCTACTAGAATATCATCAACATATCTAAGGTATAACGATGGATACACTATCGTGAGGGGAAAGCTGAAAATCCTGAGTTCAATATGCATCTTCATGCCTCTCCACCAACCAGAAAGCCTTCCCTGTATGCCTTCGAGGTGCCTTGCAGAATATGGAGAAGTCACTTCTTTCGAAACTTATCAAAAAAAAAATTGACAACTGAACAACCAAGTAAAACAAATAAAGGGTAAAAAATACATAAATGTAAAAAACAAATAACATACATCAATAATGAATTAATAGTACAAGCCACTGTCAGTTAATAAGTAAAAAATAAAAGTTCTCATAATGTGATTGCAGATAATGGCACAATTCATAAGCTACTTGTAAGTCCTTTAATAGCAAATTTCCATGCCGAGGGTAGGTCCTCCGCATCTCTGGCGTTTATGCATCTTTTATCAAGTTTACTCCTATATATTTCCATTTTTTTGGCAGTCTTCGCTAAAGTTGAGAGTGTACTTGTCTGACGATTTTCGCCTCCTCCCATCCAACCAAAGACCCTTGGGCTTGAGCCATCTGGGCCAGCATCGTTGCATTTGATCTTTTCCTAACATCATACTTATGTTCTCTGATCCTTACACCTAGGTTTCTCGTTGTAACTCCTGTGTACTTCTTTTTTAATCCTAACTGTTGGTTCTCATACGGAATCCTATAAACTGCTGCTTTATCATCCTTCTTAATGTCCCCTTTATCATTTCTTAGAATTTTGTATAAATTCAGAGCTCATCTTAAGATCAACGTTGATTTTTTAATGTTCGCAATCTCCTTCAAGATGCTTCGTATATTTTTGTTGTATGCGAACTTTGTGTACATACCAGGTCTTTGTTTAGAGGCCCTTGCACCACTTATCTCAAGTTTTCTAACAATACCAGCAATTATGCTTCTCCTGTAACCTAAGATTTCTGCTATCTGCGTCATAATATTGTCGCAATAAAGAAAAGCCCTTCTAACTAAGGCACAAAATGCTGCCAATTTATAATGAAATGGATCATTGGACTGTGAGGGGGTTTAAAGGATTTACAAGTAGCTTATGAATTGCGCCATTATCCGCAATCGCGTTATGAAAACTTTTATTTTTTATTTATTAACTGAGAGGGACTTGTACTATTAATTCATTATTGATATATGTTATTTATTTTTACATTTATGTATTTTTTACCCTTTATTTGTTTTACTTGGTTGTTCAGTTGTCAATTTTTTTTTTTTTGAATTTGAATTTGGTGTTCTATTCTATGGTAGTTATTCCATATGCGGCAGTTTCAACCTGAAGACGCTCTATAGAGTAGATCAAAAACGTTCATTTTTAATAAACTCCCTCAGCAACGAATAAGGTGTTGGTTATTTGATTTTTCAGTTTATCACTCTGGACCTCTGAAACAAATCTGGACAAGTCAAAAATCCTCAGGAATTTTTTGAGAGTGATCCATCCCAGATTAGGATATATCAAACTTTGTCCCTAACTATTTGGCTAGCCCTACAATGGGCTTGGCAAAAAGCCCTTTTAGTGCCCATAGGATAGAAAGAAATTTTTAAAATCCAACCAATTATTAGTAATATGAAAATCATAATTTTTTCATTAGTTGTTTTCACTTTCCCAATGTTATATTGTAATCATCAAATCTGACCTTTCAGGTTTTTTGCAAATTTCAACATTTGAGACCTGAACCCAAAAAACTTCCATGGACATGTGTGTCAGCATCTATTTTGTTTAATATCTCAGGATGGGATAAAGTTTAAGAAATGAAATATGACATGGTAACTTGTATATAAGGGACATTGCTGATATTAAACATTAGAGTACAGAATTCAAGGAAGCAGGAAAACAAGGGTCATGGGTCATATTTCAGCTGGGGTAAAAGTTAATGAAAATTTTACACATATGAGTTATAAACTCTAGTCTAGAAATACATCTCTACCTTCAAAATCAAGTCTTTTGCTTTTCGTGCTATTATAAGAACACAAGAAAATTTTGTAATCATCTCAAATTTTTATTTTCTTGTTATTTTCCTGACTGTTATTCTATAACAGTGTTTTTCAACCTGTGGGTCCCGACCCCAAGGGGGATCACGGGTAAAAGAAAAAGACAAGTGTTTATATAATCTTTTGAGAAATGTATCCATTTTATGCTCGTGCGGAGCAAAGACAATAGCATGAGGCGCACTCGCCTTTAGCGCCCCCATGGCAAAGTTACTATTTGCAGGGCTCTTGCGACTTCTTTGCACAGTACAATTGGGTTTTCGATCGATATTTAGGTCTCAACAGAAAGAAAAAATTAAATACGTAGTTTTTAAAATCACTGACATAATTTTAATATGGCCCTGGGGGTCACCAGAATTTTTTAACTTGTAAAGGGGATGCATATTCAAGAAGGTTGAAAAACACTGCTCTATAATATTGTAATCGTCTCATATTTAACCCTCTGGGTTTTTGCAATCATGATATTTTGACACCTCTCAATCATAAAACCCAAAATACTGTTATCCAAAGTGTGTGTGTACATCTATTTTGTTTAATATCGCAGGATGGGCTAAAGATTAAGAAACGAAATTTAGCACAGTAACTTGTATATAAGAGGTGTTGATGCTTTAAAATTTTGGAGATTAAAGATTATGGGATAAGAAGATAGAGGTAGAACACATACTTTGAAAGGAGCATGACCTAATGAAGATCTTACTCATTATAGCATTTACAATTTTTCTTTATATAACTCATCCTTACCCTCAAAATTAAGCTTTTTGCCATTTCATAATAATTAANAGATTCTTATAATTTTTCTTCAAATAAAATAAAATATTATCGTAATTTTGCTCAAACGATTTTCTGTTGGCTATTTTTTGGCAATGTTTTCATAAGATATTAAATCTAATGAATTTGGCAATTTTCTATCCTCGATCGCCATTTTAAGTGACGTTTTCTCAGGAGTGAAATGGTAAGAATTAAACGTATATTTTTCGAAGTTTATAAGATATTTATATCACTAACACAAAATATTTTAAGTTGATATAAAACGATAACTTTTCTTCAAATTTGCTTAAGCATTAATTGTGAGTAGGAAAGAGAGAGGTGGCTTGCCCACGTGGCTGCCTCCCTATTATTCATTGTCTAAACGTGTTCCGGATTGAAATTTATAAGTTTAGAGTTTTGAAATTATTCTTAAAATTTCTTTATATTGTTATAACTTTAGATATTTACATTAATTGTAATAAATAATAAAATAAATTGTTAGTGAATATGAACTTTAATAAAAGAATGTTTAATTTTATAATTTTGTTGTTTTCTCATTTATATACCACTTTCTCATATATAAGTTGATATTCATTTTAAATATATTGAATTTTTAAGAATTTTAAATCATTATTATGGAATTTTTAAGTCATGTAAGTAATCAAAGTTCACTTAAACTTAATAAGGCTATTAATTCATATATTTTGGACTAGAGGTAGATATTAACATGATTTTTTTCATCTCCTGGTTACCATTTAATTAAACAACCAACCACCATATAAAATTCCAATAGTAATTAATGATTCAAGAGAGGCTGAATGGCCAAGCAGTTAAGGAGGCAGCTCACTGCTCTGGGGAACCACGGATTGAAACTGGACGGGTTGAAAAATCTCCAGGAATTTTTTGGGGAGGTAGTCCGTCGGTATATGTCAGGCCATGTCTATCACTTCCCAGCAGCCCCATTGTGGGTCCAGCCAAACCCATAATGGGCTTGCTAACAGAGCCATCTTAGTGCCCTGGGTGGAAAGAATTTAAAAGAGTAGTCGTTCTTGTAATATCATTCTCAGAAATTTGCTTTTCGTAACTATAAATGATGTGCAAAGGTTAAAGTAAAATTTAAAGAAAATTGGAACAGTATCTTAAAACAGCATTCAAAATTAATATTTTTCTTCTCCCAAAAATTAAGTGTCATTATTTGCTTGCCTCCGAAATTGACCCTAATCTGAAAAACCTCAAACAGTGAGAATTATATATAAGATTATGCACAAATTTGAATTTGATAGAGGAAGGAGAACCTGTAAGAAACATTGGCTGCATTCGGTGATTCAACAGTCGTTGAGTATTTTTCTGCTCTACAGTAATGCTGTTTCAGAACATGTTTGGTGTTCTGATGTCACAGTAGCATTTTTCATTCATGCTACCTAGCTGAAACTGAGCCAATGATGGCTGTTTCTTGTTCCAAAGCATATGTTACTTGTCGTTTGAAGATGTTACTATGTAACAGCTACCGATTGAAACACCTTTGCTCGGTTACAATTGTTGACTCTGCTGAGTGTAACACGTCACAGGTCATCCTAGTACATTTTTTCATCTAAATAAAAGATCTTTACATTCTTGGTACATGCAGTAGTTGGCTTTTTCATACATGAAGATCTTAATCATTCACTTTTATTTCTATCACTACAGTCCATGCACAGCATCGTTTGACAGTTTTATTGCCTGAGTATTATATTATTTATCTATACTTCCACAGACTTGATGATATCAGCTGCTAGTATTTTATGCCTGTAAATGCTTCAGATTTCCACATTAGATAATTTATTCAAGCAATGTCACCACATCTAATTTTAACAATAGCATTTCTTTTACACATATGTGAAAATTGCATATATCATATGCACACTATAGCATTTGTGGTCACAGCATCATTTGAAATTTTAATGAATTTATTATCTCAGATATTAAGGTTTGTAAACTTATAAAGAAAACAATACACCTCTAACAGTGAGCATGTTTGAAGAATGCAAACATTTTCAACCAGGGCAATGACTATCTGGTGTGAAAGGATGTAGTGCAAAATAAAAAAGATGGGTTATTGTTTATTTTCCTGTCCTGTAGTAGCATTCTTCTTACATCCTTTTGTGTGTGAAGTTTTGAAAATTTTCATGTTTTTCCAAACTTATCCATGCTCAAAGTTGTATTATGTTAACTGCAGTAGCTAGTTTAACTTAGAATTATTTTCACATCCAATTAACTTGCTTATATGCTAGTAATATAAATATGATTGTAAGAAATGATAATTGTTATGCAAAGCAATAAAAGGATGAACCTAATAATATGATAGGAATTGCCGTCAGAAAATTTCTGTTGACAAATTCTATTCTGATTATTGCAATGTTGTATATTTAGAATCAAAATCCACATGACTATAATCATTTATTAGAGTTTTTTTATTTCAGGCGTTTCGTCACTTCGTACAAATAGGCCGAGTGGCATATGTACCATTTGGTACTAATGCTGGAAAACTGTGTGTCATTGTTGACATAATAGACCAAAATAGAGTAAGTTTTAATGTTTCTGATATACTTAGTAATTTAGTACTTTAAAAATCATATTATATTTCATATAAATGAGTAAAATATAATGAATAATGCAGTTTGATTTATAAAGAATCTTCAGTAACATAAAATTTCATTTTCATGGCAAATGATGGGCAACAAATGATGAACCTAAGAATTTGATAGGAATTGCCGTCAGAGATCTCTGATGACGAATTCTACTCTGAAAATTGTCCTTTTTGTCATGTTTTAGTATAAATGTTTGAGTTCCAAAAATCTGGCTTTTTCTAGATGACATTAAAATTTTGAGTTTAATATTAACGTTAATTTTCATGAAATCTAATTAGTATTTAATTCACAAGTATTGTGTTTTAACTATTAAATATGCTGTGTTATGATAGTAAATGCATAGTATATTTAAAGCTCTGTGTTCTGTCAGTCAAGTTGGAATTCATATTAGAAGTGTGACTTGATCAACAACAAAGTTAATTAATTTGCAGGAAACTAAAAAACAATTTGTTTTTGATATTTTTGTAGGCTTTAGTAGATGGTCCATGCTCTGGGGTAACCAGACAGTCCATCCAGTTTAAAAAGTTGCGACTGACAAAATTTCGCATAAAGATCCCACACAGCACTTCAACCAAAACTGTTAGGAAAGCATGGGAAAAGGAAAATATTAGTGAAAAATGGAAAGAAACTCCACTTGCTAAGAAAATCGAAGCTAGGAAGAAGGTATTGGTTTTATTTGATATTTGCAAACTATTGAATTATTCTGTATTTAATCATAAGGAACCACTATTACACTTCATTGATCTATAATTTAAAGATATGACAAAATTTTGATAAAAATCTAAATATTTCAGAGGGTGAATATGAACGATTTTGATCGTTTTAAGTTATACAAGGCCAAGCAATTGGTAAGTTTTCTTTACACTGTAGAACATGTTTCGTGAATTCAAATTTATTGATTTTGTTTTTTTTTATTAGATGAATCGAGAAATCCGTACTGCTTTTCTCAAACTGAAAGCTACAGCCAAGAAAAATCCTCCCAAACCCAGACCGAAGAGAGTGAAGAAGCTAGTTAAGAAATAAATTGTTGTAAAAAATTTCAGCAAATAAACTGTTTTGAAATGAATTTCCAGTTGTTAATAAAATATTTTTAATCCTTCATTGATTTCAAGAAAATTTTATTCTGCTGGTAAAATGTCTTTTCTGAAAAGAAATAAATACAGTATAGTGATCAGTAGACAGTGGACATCTAGGCCCTTAAAAGTGGTGTTTTAAGCACTAAAAACAAGCTCTTAAATTGCGTTGTTTAGGCTTTATAAACAAAAAATAGGCGGTCAAAATTTGCACAATGAACAATTAACGTACTTATCACGACAATGAATTTTTTATTTAACATATGTATTCCAAACAAAAATGCAGGTATTCAGAATGATGCAAACACAAAAGTAGACAATTATCTTTACATTTTTTATTCACTCTGTTTCCCATAGTTAGCTTCATAATATATTACAAGCCCTTTTTCCAAATTTTCTATAGAAAAGTTGCAACATTTGTCACTGAGAATTAATTTATATGAGGAGAAAGCATGTAATCCGTTATCTTCAGTAGATGTGTTCCACGTCTACTGAAGATAACAGATGTACTGTTCATAACGGATGTACTAAAGATAACAGTATTTTAACCTTGGAAGAAGATGAACTGGGAATTCGCTTTCAGTTTTGCTCTTCTTTCCTGCCAAAATATCAGCCACAATAAACAATTTAATCCAAGTCTCTTTTCAAGCACTGCTTTCAACTCTTCACTTTTTTTGCAGCAGTGCCTAGTGCATCACAAAGTTTCTGCTTCGCTCTGTTGAGGAGATCAACTTGTTCATATATAGGTTTTCCACTATTTTCAATAGTAGTAATAGTATCTGCAATGAATGTGAAATAACACTTGATGTACTGTACATCAACTTGTTCTGAACATAAATGTCATTCAAAATTTTCTTAGCTTTAGTTACGCAACTGCATTGTCCGCTAAAGTGGCCAGAAGTTTTTTGATATCAAAGAAATTCTCACTGTAGTAGTTAGAATAAAATTTTAGCCATGTATAAGCTAAGGGAAAAATAGACATTTGCCTAAAATCTGCTGTCTAAAAATGACAAAGCATCTGTAATGCTATATTTATTAAATAAAAGCATTTATTTTAAAATATTTCATATAGTTTTAATTTTACTACTATAAAATTGCATCAGAAGGTTAATTTATTTCCGTTATTATTGCATTCTAATTTTCTGCTTGGGATATGCATCCATTGGGACTTAAATATAAGTAATCAATAATAATAAAAAAATGAATTTGATTGCATTTTCAGGAAAAAATGAAACTTAAACAGTTTAATTTAAGAATTAAAGTAAACCTTTGAGGAAAATGAAACGAAAAATTAATAAAACTTTTTTAAAATATGAAAACAGACTAAATTTTGTGTTTTAGGCAAAAATAAGCAGCAACGTCAAAATAAGCATTTTTAGGCATTATAAAATACCATTGTTTCGGTCAAAATGCTCATGAAAATCATTCATACAAAATCTTAGCCATGTATATGCCAAGGAAAAAATAGGCATTTGCCTAAAATTCGCTATCTAGTGATCAGTTACAATTTTCAATTAACTTTTCTTATAACTTATTTTTTTAAAATTGAGTTCTATGAAGGTTGTTCAAAAAGTTCCCGAACTTTTTGAATAGCGTGCCTCCAGTTGGTTATTTTTTAATCTGCTTGGAGGCGTTGTGTTTGTGGAAACCTCCTCCTTCAATCCGTTTGTTGATATCTTGTTTTGATGATTAGTTGCGGCCATTTTTGTGGGGTTTGGCGAAAAATCATCGGATTCGCGGAAATGAGCTCTTTGAAGGAGCAGCGTTGTTCTGTGAAATTCTGTGTGAAACTCGGAAAATCCTTCATGGAAACATTCCCCTGACCCAAAAAAGCTCGACAAGTCTGCTCATATGTTAAGGTGATGTTGACTGTTTTTTCAATCTAAAGGGGGATGTGCATCACGAATACATACCTATAGGCCAGACATCAACATGGAGATGACAGTCAACCTTGGATTATGAAACGCCTAAGAGACAGAATTAGGCGAAAACGACCCGAACTTTGGAGGAGCGGCGAGTGGTTTACTCCACGACAATGTGCTGGCTCATTTGTCTCAGAACTCGTAAGTTTTTGGCCAAAAACAAGACTGCTATGCTTCCCCATCTGACCTGGCCCCATGCGACTTTTTCCTGTTCCCCAAACTAAAAAAAAAAAAACGTTCAAAGGAAAAAGATTTGCCACCATTCTAGAGCTATTAGGGGAAAACGACGGAGGAGCGTATGAGCATTCTGGAAAAAACGTTCCAGAACTGTTTCAAAAAGTGAAACACCGTTGGGATAAGTGTATACGTTGGGGAGGAGACAACTTTGAAGGGGACCGTGACAAATAAATTGTAAGTGAAAAGTGATAGTGCAATCTTTTTCTTCCTTGTCCAAACTTTCCAATCAACTAGATGTCGTTGCTTTCAGACTAGCCCTAATGACTCACTGTGTTTTCTTTTTATAGATTAATCTTTATATTTAGTAAAGTTTATTTAAACATTTTTAGGCAAGTGTTTTAGGGGCTAACCATAGGTATTATTTACCTATGAATGATTACAGTATCTCATTCATAAAAATGAATGAAATACAGTGGTATTCTGGTATTCGAACACATTCTGGAAAAAAGTCACTTGGTACTCAACTGAACAAATGTGGCCCGTTAATATGTAATTGAAAATTTGTTCTTTTATTTCATCATCCATAAAAAATGAAAATATTACTGATGTTTCTGATCAAGATCAAAAAAGCTGAGATAACGACAATACTTTGTAAATAGAAAATGCCCTCGTTTAACTAAAATTAATATTAATGTGTCATACAGTACTTTTAATTGCAATTGTTAATTAATTATTGATTAGTAAAGCAATCAATACTTTATTTCCAAATATATTTCTCAGCAAAAATGTACTATTTTTCTTTTTCGTTACTAACCCTATGTTTTGCACTAGTCCTTTGTTTCGTATAGAACAGATTTGCATAACATAGTAGTTACGTTCCGAAAAGATCCAGTGTTATGCAAATCCATGCTATACGAAACAAAGGACTAATGCAAAACGTATTATGTTCAAGAAGTTAGTAACAAAAAAATAGTATACTTTTGCTAAGAGAAATATATTTAATTAATAAAGCAATCAATACTTTATTTCCAATCAATAATTAATTAATTAATAATCGCAATTAAATGTACTGTATGACACATTAATATTAATTTTAGTTAAGTCAGGGCGTTTTCTTTTATCAAAGTATCATCACCATCACCTGAGCGTTTTTTTGTTGATCTTGATCAGAAATATCAGCAATGTCTTCATTATTTCATTTTTATCATAATTTTCTATGGATGACAAAAATTGCTATTAATTCATAATTTGTTCAGTCAAGTACTGATCAATTTTTTCCAGAATTTGTGCTCACGTACCAAGATATCACTACGGCGTATTTTGTTTATCATTTTTACAAATTATTACTTGCCTATGGTGAAAAACCTGTAATAAAATTTACCTAAATACAAAGATTAATGTATAAAAACAAAACACAGTGACAGTCTTACGGGCTAAAGTCAATACAATAACAACACCTGGTTGATAGAATTTTTCCTTCCTTGTCTTAGCTTTCTTATCAGTTTTTGTCAAATTAAACAAACCTGATGAATGGCACAAAAGAAGTTGAAAACTTCAATATTCTAAAATCTGTTGGCAGTTTGAGACAACACACGTGCTTGCTTGAATAAAAAAATAGTACATGAAATAACGAAGTTTACACTTAAAAATTGTGAAATTTTGTACGGATGATTTCCAAAACCACGTTAGAGCGAAACTGGAAGTTGTGTTATGAAGAATGTGGAAGTTGTGTTAAGCCCTGGTTACACTATGCGATTTCCAGCCGCGCAGGCGACTGCAACCGCGACGGCTGTTCCCGTTAACTAGTAATCCCCTCGAAAACCGGCGCGACTGCAATCGCAACTAGAAACAAAAGTTTGTTCTACTCGCGACAATTGCAAACACGCATCTAATCAACAAACTCCTTTATGCCACGTCATACAATGACAACATTGAAAATAGTTCATCATCATGGCGGATAGTCAGAGGATTAATACTTTTACAGAATCGAGATTGATCGAGCTTATTCAGGCTCACGAATACCTGTGGGATTTTAATTCTTCGTTTTATCGAAGATTTTATCTTTTCATGTATTTTCGCCAGCTCTATTAAAATAATCGCCTTTTTTCTTTTATTCATTCCAGAAAAGGAACTGCTTGCTATTTTAATAAGAAAAGTGGCTAAAATTCCGTAAATATTCTGAAGTAGAACGTAAAATATCGGCAAACTCACGAAAGTAGTCAAAAACAAGCTACTGTAATTTTATTGTTTTATTATAGGGCCACGTGTTTCCGAGTTGCAACGTCAACGAACAATGTGTGACCACGAGACGCGCGACTCGCGCTTGTTGCAGTTGCAGTCGCCTGCGCGGCTAGAAATCGCATAGTGTGACCAGGGCTTTACCCAATTTTTAAACTGTTGTACAAGGGACAGAGCCGGCCCTACCATAGGGCGAACGGAGCAGCCGCTCCAGGCGCTAAGTCCTATGGGTCGCCTCAGTGTTAAAGAAAATTAAAGGGTATAAATTAGGGGCAACCAAGGGGGCGCCATAATAGGATCTCGCTCCATCCTAAAACTTGCCTCGGGCCGGCACTGACAAGGGATACCTACATATATTGATTACCTATACCTACGTGATTTTTTCATCCTGAATTTGATGTTTCCCAATCTATCAATTAAAAAGTGGTATCATCAACATGTGAATCTATTCTATTCTACACCCTTGGTTCATATGGAGATTACTGCTTTAAATGCTTTTTCTCCGAGAGACGTTTTTATTGATCGCTATGCGACCGAAGAGCCAGCCATATCTAACGGCCTATACGCGCGCGTGGGAAAGAATGCCTTCCGGGAGGACTTTTACGGGGAACTGGCCTTCTATTCAGTCATTGGCAAGGAGAAAACCCGGAAAACTT